TTCAAAACTACTGCGATTGGTACCCATATGGTAAATATTGATTTAACTATTTAAATAATTTGAATTTAATTTTTAAATAGGTGGCAGCCCTCTTCAAACACTTTAAAAATATTCTAAACGTTCAAACTAAAGATGTCTTAAGATTCATTCGCTTGACGTCCATATTTTTATACATCATATAAATTAGACTTTTCAAACAGGTGGCAACCCTCTTCACAATGTTTACAAACTACTACGTACTTAAACTTTATCGTCTGGCACCCATACATATTTCTATTACCTAATTCCCTTAATTCAAATTAAATTTGATTTTTTTAACAGGTGGCAACCCTCATTAAGTTAACAAACAAAGATTTTCAAAACTATTTCCATTTATGCCCATTTTGTAATAATTGGTTTAGCTTTTTAAATAATTTTAACTTCATTTTTTAAAAGGTGGCAACTCTTTTCGAAAAAGTTAAACCTTATTGCACACCTACATCCAGAGCCCTTTGATTTGGCACCTCACTTTTCAAAATCCAACTCCACACCGTTCTGATGGCATTGATTATTAAATTATTTGAATGCACTTTTTTACCAGGTGGCAACTCCTTTCGAAAAAATAAAACCAGTTTGCACATCTACAGGCCAAGCGCTTTAATTTGACACCCCATTTTTGAAAATGCCTTCGCGTATTATTTTGAACTTAATTTTTTAAAAGGTGGCAACTCTTTTCGAAAAAGTTAAACCTTATTGCACACCTACATCCGGAGCCCTTTGATTTGACACCTCACTTTTGAAAATCGAATGAACGGTGTGGATCTGATGGCATTGATTATTAAATTATTTGAATGCAATTTTTTATCAGGTGGTAACTCTTATCGAAAAAATAAAACCTTATTGCACATCTACAGACCAAGCGCTTTAATTTGACATCTTATTTTTGAAAATCGGGCGAACGGTACAGATCTTTTACGCTGCACAAAAAATCCCTTCGCGTATTATACAGTTGTCCACAAAATAATAGGAGTGCGATATTTTGACCAGTT